GCTGAAGCGAACTTGGGTTCTGCAGCAGGACAATGATCCAAAACACACCAGCAAGTCCACCTCTGGATGGCTGAAGAAAAACAAAATGAACACTTTGGAGTGGCCTAGTCAAAGTCCTGACCTGAATCCTATTGAGATGCTGTGGCATGACCTTAAAAAGGCGGTTCATGCTCGAAAACCCTCCAATGTGGCTGAATTACAACAATTCTGCATAGATGAGTGGACCAAAATTCCCCCACAGCGCTGTAAAAAACTCATCGCAAGTTATCGCAAACTTTTGATTGCAGTTGTTGCTGCTAAGGGTGGCCCAACCAGTTATTAGGATTAATAAATCTGCAAAAATGTCAACAATTCTGTGTTTTTCTGTCGATATGGGGTGCTGTGTGTACATTAATGAGGAAAAAAAATAATTTAAATGATTTTAGCAAATGGCTGCAATATTACAAAGAGTGAAAAATTTAAGGGGGTCTGAATACTTTCCGTACCCACTGTATATAGTAAAACAAGCTAAATGTAATTTTTGTCATATGCCAGAGCTATGCATGAATACACACTAATACACGCAGCCAAGGTGAATACATCTCATTTTTCAGTCAAGTAATGAATCCACAAGTTAATGAAACAATTATATTTTATTTACTGACAACAGGAAACATGAATAAATGAGTAAAAGAATAAATAAAAGTAACCATGACAATAAATAAATATCATCGTCACATGAAAAGTCATCGACACATGAAACAAAGCTTTATTCAAACATTGTTCTAACAAACATGTATTTACAGGTGAACCCACATCCTACTGCCATCTCAACACAGCTGTGACAGTTCTGCAGCTTTATTCTGATGAAGCAACTGACCACTGTGTCCACCTTCACCTGTCTCTGCCGTCCATCACAACCATCATTGCTGCAGTCAGACTGAATCTGATCATGGATGGGAGAGGGACATCGATGCTATCATTGCCTGAGTGCACAGAGAGGATGAGGCCCCCCGTACCACACAATCTTGAAGCAAGAGCAGGTGAACACATGCGGGACAATCTGGCTGCTGCTGTGTCTGCTCCAAACATTTGTGTGCTGCTCTCCATGAGCACGACTACATTTACACAGAGTAAAACATTTTAAAATTAATGTTGTCAGCATTTCATTTCATATGTTACCAATTACATGCTAATTTTGTCAAAGCTTCTTTACTTCTGTGGTGTAGTGGGCTAAAGCACTGCACTGGTCAGCAGAAGGTTACTGGTTCGATCTCCGCAGTCGTCACCACTGGTTGTGTCCTAGAGCAAGGCTCTTTACTCCAGGTGGCTGCTGGG